ATTATATTCACTCTAAAATTTAAAAAACCAAGCAAGCATTTAATGGGACAAAAAAATTTAATTGAATTCCGCTTCCGTTATTTTTTTTTTTTTTGAACCGAAATACGGCCAGTCCTTACTCCTCACCAACCCGACGCAACTCCGTGTCCATGACCCCAACAGGATTCCTTCCTCCATTTTCCTCTCCATTATGCACGCTGTAACAATGTCAATTGCTTCCTTGTCTGTCCCTTCCGTTGGCCATTGTTGCCGTAATTCTCCTCCTTTCTCTCTCAAATCCGCTTTCTTCTCAAAACCCCAAAAACCCCATGTCAATTTCACCCTCAAAACCTCCCAAAAGAGATGTACCCATGTAGTTTCAATGAGCATGGAGGCGGGTATTGGGGTGATGGGTACAAAGCTGGGGATGATGAGCTACTTTGAGACTGATGGAACGGTTGTGCCCGTCACGGTTGTGGGGTTTCGAGAGGGCAATATAGTAACCCAAATCAAGACTGAGGCCACTGATGGGTATGATGCTGTTCAGGTTGGGTACAGGAGGGTAAGGGATAGGAAGCTGACGAAACCGGAGTTGGGGCATCTGGAGAAGGCTGGGGTGATCCCAATGCGGCATTTGCAGGAATTCAGGCTGCAGAGTTTGGATGGGTTCGAGGTGGGTCACAGGTTGGCCATAGGGGAGATTTTTAACGAGGGGGATTTAGTTGATGTTTCTGGAACTACTATTGGGAAAGGGTTTCAAGGTATGCTTTCAAGCATTGCATTTATCATGGCTATGCTTGTTCCTTTTTCCTTTTTCAGTGAGAATTATTACGAAAGTTTGTTTTTTGAAGTGTCTGATTTTTATTTTTTATTTTTACGAGAATAAGTGCATGATTTTAGTTTTCTGAGGAAGATGATGTTTTATCTTTACAGACTGATGCAACTTATCCTGTCTATTTTCCTCTAGGATTGTGGTTTTCAAATTTAATTCGTATATAATGTTGTATTTCTGTTCTTATTCTTAGAATTCCTAATACTTGGCTATGTTTAATAATTATAATGCAATGCCTATGAGTGTGATCTCTTTCTTGCTATTCCTGAAATCTCAGTAGCTGGAATCTGATTTGTACATTACTTGTTTACCTCAATTTTACATAGGTGGAATAAAGCGGCATAACTTCAAAAGGGGTCCAATGACTCATGGATCCAAAAGTCATAGAGCTTTAGGATCTATTGGTGCTGGAACAACACCAGGTCGTGTATACAAGGGGAAGAAGATGCCGGGAAGAATGGGGGGAACCAAAAGAAAGATCCGAAAGCTGAAGATTGTGAAAATTGACAAGGATCTTAATGTTGTGATGATTAAAGGCGCCGTTCCTGGTAAGCCTGGAAATCTGCTTCGCATAACTCCGGCTAAAATTGTTGGTAAAAACATACCAAAGAACTAGCTGGATGTAGTCTACATTGTTTAGTTTCAGGGTATATTTTGCATTCTCATAACCTAATATTCTATGTAAATTGCTATTTAATCTTTGAAGTATCAATTTAGATTTCAGTTGTTAGCATCTTTTGATGCATCATCAGGTGCATGGTTTTAATGGAAATCTAAATAAGTTTTTTTAGTTGAGCTCTGACTCAGATGATTTCTCTATTTACAAAAGCACTAATGGGTTGATCAGTCATGCAGAGCAAACCACATATTCTTTGTAAATACTTCCTATATCACTGTTATAATGATCTCATCTTCATGAGTTGTAGTCTTGTACATTAAAAGGTATTTGGAATTACTCTTTAGGCCCTTAGCTCCTCCCATGTGAGGTTGAAAATATGTGCATTTAGCTGCTTTGTGTCATGCTGGAGCATTCTCAGTTACCTGGTGTACTGCACTTCTTTGCTTGGTTATTTTCCACTATTTTGTAGTGTTGTCAGAATGTCACTGATTATGAGTTATGTATCTGTCTCCAAGGTTTGGTTTAAACACAATTCCCTCAAATAACACCATGATCTACAATTGAGTTCAGAGAATCAGTTGGATTTTAGGGACTAGAAGTTGAGAATTGATATACTTCAATACTCTGTATCTAGAAATGGAGAATTCTATTGATTAAATTCTGCTTGGAATTGAACCAGAAAATTGGTTTAATGACAAACTAGAAATAGAATATTTTCAGAACATGGAATTGAGCTTAGCTTAAAAAAGAGCATGTCCTTTTCATTTACCTCATGTATTATCTAGGAGCAATTGCATTTACATAATTGAAAGAGATGGCTATGAATGCTTGGATTAAGTTTCACTTATATGGCAGGGTTCTTTCATTTACCTCGTGAGGGCTTGGATCAACTGTAGTATCTTTTCTTTTCAGTTTTCGATCTATTGGAGCATTAATATACTCGGTATTTGTAGGAGTCTAAACCCTTGATTTGATCTTCAAAATCAAAACTTAATTAGATATCGACTTAACTAAGGTCAATTTATGCACTAGCAGCCAACTCTAGCAATGTGCAGCAAAAAACCTTAGTCCATGAAATTCCCCTTGTTCAGAAAAAAAAAAAAAAAAAAAAAAAAAAAAAAAAAAAAAAAAAAAAAAAGAAGAAACAAAGTTCAATTTATTGTTAGTATGTATGTGCTTGATCTTCTACTACAGTTTTTGGCCTTTTTACCTGGTGCAGTAGCTAATGGTAGAATGCAAGTTTTAATGAAGGTTTTGTTATAATTGTGGGTGCTAAGGATATATAGTAGGGTTCACAAACTATTTCTAAAACATTTTTTTAAAGGACACTAATATAGATACCTTTTAGTTTAATATATTTATTAAAAAATTATTATTTGTTAATTTGAAATTAAAGGCTAAAAACTTTAAAGATATGTCCATGCATACAACATGGAGGAATTAATTGAATTAATTGTATTTATATTATATTTTAATAACCAAACTGATTGAGTTTCAATGTGAGTGTTGGACTGAAGAGTATCTAAATCATTTTCTTTTTATGAAATAACGCAGACCTGTTTTCCAAACAGAAACTGAGTTAGAGGAACTGAAAAGGTAATTTTCTTTTCAATCCAAACCCATCAGCATCAGAACCACTGCTCTGCTGAGCTTTGGGAAAAAAAAACCAAACCTACTGGGAAACAAAGTAAAAATCAAGTTTAATTTGAAAGAACAAAAGAAGAAGCAGAAGCACCATTAAATCGAGGAAAGCTTGGAACAAAAGCAAAACATTCTCCATGGAAGAGTCAGCAGAGAAGACTTAAAGATCAATAGCCGTAGGGCTTCCACCATTAGAAATGGCACAACTGGTGATGACCCCCTACTCTCCATTGTCTCCAACTCTTCATTCAAATCATGGTGTGAGTACCTGTTTCTGTCTTGTTTGTAAATAGGGTCCACCTGGGGTTAATTTAGAGATGATTTCAGGAGTCGAGAGAGATGTTACCAGAGATAAAGGATTCTCTATATTGCTCAAAGAGCAAAAATCTTCTTTGGAAGAATAATGCAGGGAGTGTAAGGGTGGACAATAGCAACAACCAAATAACCTCCTTCCTGTGTTTGGTTTAATCCATGTTGTCATCCTTGGATAAACAACACCATAGTGACATAATCGAGTCCCTCCTTTATAGTTGAACTTGGATTTGAAAAATTCACCTCTAGGTCACTCGTTGCTTCAAAACCTTGAGAAAGGGATGCCTTAGATTGACTCATGCTGACAAAGGAGCTATTTCAACTAAAGATGCTTTCAGGGATAGAATCTTTAACGAAGCAGAGATTTGGTTCAAG